TATATTATTTAAATTTTGTTAGAAACTTACTATGTTTGTTGAAGTATGCAATATTTAAAAGCGTTTTCAATTTAAATCAGCATTTATCCGTTCGATCAGATTTCGATTGAAGTAATAGCAAATATAGGCTAGCGATTGGATTTCCACCTGGCGGCCACAAAATACCCATGAGTTTCCTTGTGTGGCCTACCTCAAACCACATTGGGGCGCGCACCGCAGCTCGATGTTGCAATATCAGATGACCCACATTCAGTTCATGACATGCATTCGATTTTGCCAGAATGTTCCAATTTCGACAGCGATGTTATACGTTTGTATTAACCCAGGGCCTTTCAACGGGTGCTTTTGACCCCTTGGGCTTTGGCAATACCTTAAGTGAGATCGTGTGTGATTAATTCTAATTATTCTCACTACAAGAGGATGCGTATAGACTATGATCTTTAATAGCGTGATATTTTTTAGAAATATTATTATTAACTATATTTGTAAAGTTTTCTGATGCTTGTAAATATTCCTAACCAGATATTTTATTGAGCTTACATACGAGTGTTTAGTATATAACATAATCTCCTTAAGAGCAGGAACTGCTACTTTCACCGTTTAAATGATCGGAATTAGAATAGCGATTTATATGATTCTTGTTAACGTTTGCTTTATTATATTGTCAACAACTGTGAAAATCTATTATGAATTGATCGTGAGTGCAAATATTATATTTCTACTAACTGTCATGCTGTGCGCAATTAATTAAAACTAATAAACACGTAGCATGATAGTACTCAAAAATATATATTGAAGTAATATTCACATTGATTTACATTAGTAGTGTAGTGCTAAGTTTTTTACCGGAATGCTAAAATTTAAAAAAGCGCTACTCGTATTTGTCTCGCTCGGTTTACGTATTTCTCTCGGTTTGGTTCAAGTTTCAGTCCGCCGGCAAAAAAAGGCTCGACGGTTCACATGAACAAGCCAGTTTGTTCCGATTTTGATTCTGGTTCGGGTTCCGTTCAAACTTTTGTTTATAATAATATATATAAAAATGTTGCTAAAAATTATAAAAAATCAGTAATTTTCGTTATCAGAAATCATCTTTAGTTCCGGAGCGCATTCCTGTCCAAAAAGGAAGTGCCAGAACGGACGTTTCGGAGCGTTCAGGCTCTACAATACCACTTACTTACATGGCATATTATTATTATTACACACATAAAAAATCATATTATTATTATTACACACATAGTTCTATATGTGTTTGTCAAAATGTTTAGTTATTGTCAGATTATAAACAAAATTTAACGCAATTGTAATTTATTTTTCTAATATAAAATTTATTTCTTTTTTATTGATAGAATCTTGTTCATAAGCAATTCTGGTTTTGATTAATCTTGTTCGCAGTTTTTATTTTCTTTATAACTTGTCTAAAACTGAGTAATTTCATTAATTATTCTCTTTCAACAAGATCTTCTCCAAGGAATGAAAAATCTGTATTTATGGTCAAGGGGAATCTTCTCCGAATGGAATCACGTATTTCGCATTACTCTTTCTATCTCGAGTATTCTTAAGATTATAATAGAGGTAGTGTCGGTTCACTTTTTACTAAAAAAAAATCACGTATCTTTTAGTTTTAAAGTTGAAGTAAGTTGTTTAATATAAGAATTTAATAACGTGATGATATATATGATAAACATTTCAGCAATGCAATCACTCAAGTACATATTTTAAGGTGTCTGTAATGGAAATTTTGCTTAAATATATATTCTGTTAAATCGTTGCAACAAATATGTAATGTTATTTATAATATTAATATTTGTAGTAAACATCGCTTCTGCTAGTATATTCTTTGCAGTACTTTCTCAGTTTCAAAATGCTCAATCAATGACTTTAAATATAAGATATTTTCGCTTGCTTTTCATGCTTATTCTGGAATGGTGCAAAATTGTTTTTAGATTTTACAGCCGTTTTGAAGATACAGGGGAAAAAAGCCAAAAACAGAAATTCAGTTTTTGAGAGAGCGGAGCGTCCGAATTTGTTGAAATGATTAAATTTTTGGGAAGGCAGGTCCAGCGGTTTCAGAGATCCAATAAAAAAATTAAAAATAATGCCATTTAGCGGTCAAAATGACTATTACATAAATGCATATCTTATTGACAGATATTCTATATAAATTTTAATAATACAATATTTTATTACAAATATTATTGTTGGTTTCGTACCAATGTTTATCCGTTATACTTACTCGCTTCGAAAGTTTTCAAAAATGTTCAAAGCTTTTTATAAATGTTAATTTTTGGTACGGAAGGTTTCTGAAATTTGCCTTAAGGCAAATTGCCATACACCACTAGTTTAATTTTATTTAGCGTGTTTAGTATTTTGAATAGAGTTATCGCCAGCTCTTTATTTTGTCTCTCGTGAGCGTTAATAATCAACGGTTCGAGCAGACGAGAGTAACACAAATATCCAATGATGATGAGGGTTTGTACATTTGCATACCCATTTAATTAATAAGCTCAGCTTTCGAACGGTTTAACGCATACATTTATTTACAGTTTTGTAAATTAGATATGAAAATTACTTTTTTGAAACTCCAAGGAATTAACTATTCAACAAGTCTGTATTGAATCTGATTTATTTTCTATTGAGAATTGACATATCAATATCATTTTTCTTATGGGTTAGCTCAAATTTATCTTATTATTATTTATTTATTATCTTTTTTGTCACTAGGAACTGTCGAAAAGCTGTGTTTTGCTTTTTAAATAAATGAGCGTTTTACATAATAAATATCAGATGACAAGGTTATAATTAGTGCAACTGTTTGTTGTCACTTATGATATTGTACCACACGCGTGAAGTCGAACTAAAGATAAATTTTGATATTTGTTCATTTTGAGGTAAAACGTTTAATCGAACAGTAAAAGCATAGATAGCTCTTTGTCAGTCTGAGATTACTCAACAAAAAGAGACCTGTAACATAACATAATTATTTTATCCGAGAATTGGCTCCTTAATTCTTGTTTGCAACGCGATTGCGTAAATTATTCAAATATTTTGATTATAATTGCGTATTTCTAGGAGTTCTGTATCTAAATTAGTATTTCACATTGTACATCAAGTTATCAGATTTTTATATTTTCATTTTTTGTTAATTTAATTTTTCATTTCATTCACGTGGCTCATATTGAAGACCTGTAAGAAACGATGAAGCACTGCAGACCTGCACTAAATATTTGTAAGAAAATATTTTAATTACAAAATTGTTTTTTTTTTAAATTCTTTCAAATTTTGTTGACTTTACTATATATACTATCTATAAATATTTAATTTCAGACTATATGAATATATAAAGCTTGGGTTTTGATTCTTTAACATAATTTTTCGTTTTCATTAAATTATAAAAAAATTGAACATTTCTAAAGGTTCAACATATTTTTATTGAAACAGCAAAGTTAATAAAATGAAAAAAATCAAAAATTGATTTATGGTTTCAAGTGAAAATATGCATCACGTTGTTCGATTAAATGTAGTTAGATCATCTAACTTAAATGGCAAAAAATTTATCCACTACATTATGATATACCTTAAAATATAAAGAATATATATCTATACATTTTCCAGAATATATATATATATATATATATATATACACGTAAGTTTGAATGTGTGCGTGGATTTATGTACATATACTCTTACTTTTCTTCACTTGTTATATATTTGCATAGTTTCAATAGAAACATAAATTCTTGTCGCACACATTATAAGTTGACAAACATGATTGTACATACCAGTGTATGTATTTATGCGTGAAAAATATCTCGACACATATACACATACAATAATTGTGAACGACTAAATAGATTTTAATTAATTTGCTAATTTTAATTTGTTCTGTTACTAGCAGTTGTGTTGTGAATGTGAAATGGTGCGAAATATTCTGCTCGAGACGATAACAATGGAATATTAAGTAAAGGAATAACTCATTGTGCCTAATTAATTGACTGTATAATCTTCTGTTGCACAATAGAATATCTCAAGAAATATTTGGAACACTGCAAGCAATTGCATTTCTACAGAATCCAAGTTAAGCAATAGTTGTGTGCAAGTGGCGTTTATTTCAAAATACGTTTAATCATTTGTGTAATATGTAACTTAACTAAAAATGGTTTGCACAAACTTCCATCACTATCAATTTGAAAAATGGTTGCGAGTGATAACGCCAATCGAGAATTAAAAATGGGCTTGAGAAAAGTGTTGTGTTATAAATTATATATTATATGTGTCATTTACCACCATACCATTAATTTCGTTACTAACTTGATACAAATCAAGAGTTTTATATAATATTTATTTAAATATATATAAAATCAACGCAAACATTGGGATGGATATTAATGCCAATACTGGAAATTCTCATATAATAATCACCAAAAATATAAAATTTTAATTATCATTTCGATCCAGTATAAAATGAAATCTTATATATAATAATAATAATAATGACATCATATAATATGCTTAATACACATACACATACACAAAGACAACTAACCAAGTTTTGTATGAAAAAAAGGTAAAGATATTGTATTAAAAGAAAAAAAAAACAATGTGATGAGAACGAACAAAGAAATGGGACCTTATATATAAAAACGCAAAAAAATACTTATTGAATAATAGAATGCAAACTTTACGCTTAAGTATATTTTACACTACAACTTAACGATCGATCAATACAAAGTAGAATATATTTGATAATTTCATCATAGATTGAAGAATCAGAAATTGGTGATCACACAGGTCGAATTGGTAGTCACACAAGCATTGTCGCGACTATTTGGTTGAATATTTATTTCTTATTAAGTCTGAACAAATACTGTTTGAAGGCATTGGTCTTTAACAACCTAAAAATTTCGAACAAATGATTATCATGTTCAAAAATTCTCGGTAAGGGTTCATTAACTTATTCAAAAATCCAAAATTCGCAAAGTCGAACATGGTCCGTTAGTATGATGCATTTGCAAGACATGAACGACAATGAAACTCTGATGGGCGGCGATCGCGATATAAAGCGATCTGCTGCCTGCGACCCTGATCGGACGTACGATGATCCTTGCGAACTTTTGGACGAAAGTGGTGTGGCCACAGGGCGCGGAATTCCACGTTCCCGTTCGTGGCTTTGTTGCCCGCAAAGGAACGCCAGCACGGGCAATGGGGCCAGTAACGGCCAAGGCAACGTCACACTGCCGTGCAGGTACTCTAGTCTACAGCCGGTAACTGTCCCGCCTAGACCGCAAGAACATGTAAGAGAATATTATATTAGTGTGTTTTTTTTAAATTTTATTTGGCCTTGCTTACTCTGAGCATTTAGCCACCTACAACATTTTTATTTATTTACATTCTATACTAATTTTATATCATATTCAATCTGTATACATATCCTGTTCTACATTCTTCTTTATTTTTCTGCTTCTTATTAACTTCCCGTAGGGTAAGTTATAGTAATCGCAAAAAAATCGAAAATGAAAATTTTTATATATCTTTACGTTTCAGAGGTTTCTGAACATTTTGGCATACCTTAGAAAAAATGGATGTATGTGTGTGTGTGTGTGTGTGTATGTGTGTGTGTATGTGTGTGTATGTGTGTGTGTATGTGTGTGTGTATGTGTGTGTGTATGTGTGTGTGTATGTATGTACGTGTGTGTATGTATGTGCGGATACAAATTTTCGTCGACGATTTCGGGAACACGGATCAACCGATTTGAATAATTCAAAAAACATTCGATTCGTATTGATAAGGAGACGTGCTGATTAGTTTTTGGCAAAGGCAGGTCTAGCCGTTCCGAAGATACGGGGCAAAAAGTGCCGAAAACGGTAACTCAGTTTTTGAGAGAACGGAGCGTCCGATTTAAATAATTCAAAAAACATTTCACTTGTATTGACAAGATGAAGAATCGATAAAATTTTCATAAATGTAGGTCTAGCGGTTTCGGAGATATGGAGGAAAAAGTAAAAAAATGAGCCATTTGGCGGTCAAAAATGATCATTAGACATATGCACATCAAATCATCAGATATTTTATAGAGATTTTAACAATAAGTATACATTTTGTTAACATTCCTATGGGTTCCGTACCAATGCTTATGCGTTAGACAGCGACGCGGCGCTTACGCGCTTTATATTTTGTCCCTATGCAGTTAAATCAGTACGATTGCTTTGAAAAAAAAGTTCAGATCTTCCACAATATGTCAAAATAAAGGAAAATTTTTTTTTTCAAAAAAAAAAAATTAAAAAAAATTTTTTTTTTTCAAAAAAAAAATTAAATTTTTTTTTTTTTTTTTTAATTTTTTTTTTCAAAAAAAAGTAATTTTTTGTCCATATATATAGTTTCTCAAAAATCTTATTTTTTCAAAGTACATTTTTTTCAAAAATGTTAATCGTTTTTAAAAAATTAATAATTTTTGGTACGGGAAGTTCCAGCAATTTGCCTTAAGGCACGATGCCTTAATTGCCTTAAGACAGAATTCCACTTACAGCTAGTTTTCTTCATTTTTTGCTCTTTTCAAATTTCTAGTTCTATTCAACATCTATCTTCATTGCATTTTTTTAACTTCCCGTAGGGCAAGTTATAATAATCGCAAAAAAATCAAAAATGAAAATTTTTATATATCTTTACGTTTCAGAGGTTTCTTAACATTTTGGCATACCTTAGAAAAAATGGATGTATGTGTGTGTGTGTGTGTGTGTGTGCGTAGTATGTATGTGTGTGCGGATACAAATTTAAAATAATTTAAAAAACATTCGATCCATATTTTATAAGGAGACGTGCTGATTAGTTTTTGGAGAAGGCAGGTCTAGCCGTTCCGGAGATACGGGGCAAAAAGTGCCAAAAACGGTAACTCAGTTTTTAAGAGAACGGAGCGTCCGATTTGAATAATTCAAAAAACATTTTATTTGTATTGACTAAATAAAAAACTGTTCAAATTTTTGGAAAGGCAAGTCCAACGACTTTGGAGATATGGGGGAAAAAGTAAAAAAATGAGCCATTTGGCGGTCAAAAATAAACATTAGACATATGCACATCAAATTATCAGATATTTTATAGAGATTTTAACAATAAGTATAAATTTTGTTTACATTCTTATGGGTTCCGTATCAATGTTTATCCGTTAGACGGCGACGCGGCGCTTACGCGCTTTATATTTTGTCTCCATATGCAGTTAAAGCCGTACGATTGCTTTGAAAAAAAGTTCAGATCTTTCAAAATATGTCAAAATAAAGAAAACATTTTTTTTTCAAAAAAAGTAATTTTTTGTCCAATTTATAGTTTCTCAAAAATCTTATTTTTTCAAAGTAAAATTTTTTCAAGAATGTTAATCGCTTTTAAAAAAATTATAATATTTGGTACGGGAAGTTCCAGCAATTTGCCTTAAGGCACGATGCCTTAATTGCCTTAAGACAGAATTCCACTTACAGCTAGTCATTCTTCTTTTATACTCAGCCAGTTCTAATATTTTTTTTTTTACTCCTAATACAATTCAGCTTTTATTCTTCTTTAATTTTTATTCAATTTCAACTTAACAAATACAACTTTTATTTAATTTCAAATTAACTACACATATTGTTTACTCAAATTCTAAGTCAATGACAGGATTCGATCCAAAAATCCCTGTCGTGTGAGTCTAACACTCTACTAAGTGAGCTATACTCGCCACAATTAGTGTGTTATTGTTGATATTTATTTGAAATTAATAATATTTTGGCGTGCAGGAAATTGCTTTTATTCCATTTGATCGATTTTCAATTTAGTATTTTTCTTAGCAATGCAGTTCAATTTTTAACATTCCGTAGGGTAATCTAATATGAAAATGTTTATACATCTTATGGGTAATCTGATATGAAAATGTTTTAAAACCTTCTTAACATTTTGGTATGCATTAGAAGAAATTGATTTGTGTGTGGATTCAATTAAATCGGGACAAAAAATGCCAAATATGGCAATTCAGTTTTTGAGAGAGCGGAGAGAATCTACCAAAAACATTTCACTTATATTGACAAAATGAAGAACTGATTAAATTTTTGGAAAGAAAAAAATGCCATTTGGCAGTCAAAAATAATTTTATTAATTTCTTCGCATTTTTATAACATTTTATGGAATGATTTTTTTTTCCAAAGATATAAGTTAGAAAATTTGTTGATAAGTTTCTGGCGAAGGTTAATGAAGACATTTCTTAGTAATTAACAGTTGTAAATACAAAAATATTTTTTGTAATTAAAATTTAAGTCAATTTAGTTAAGTAAATTGTTATTTTACATATTTTCAAAATATTAAAAATAGATCTTTTAACCAAACCAAAAATCTAAGTCAAAATATGGTTCCAAAAGGCATTGATTAGCATTGATTATTTTTTTTATTTTTTTGTATTGAATGAAGATCAGCTAATCCGATTCTTTGTATATGCCAGTAGGAAATTTAATTTTTTGAGAAATTATAAATTCATTTTATCTATATTAACTAAGAATCTTGTTCATTAGTTTTGTGCTAGCATTTTTGTTTTTGTTTGATTCTGACAATTTAAAAGTATTTATTAGTTTGCGATTCTCCTTAGCGTTAATTAGTCTTGAATGGAAAATCAACCGTACTCTTCGCAATTAACAGTTGAAAACAATTTTTTTGCCAGTTTTGGAAATTCATTAATTACTCGCTGGAAATCAATTCGTATTGATCAACTCAATTATTCTCGATATTTGGAAGTTCATGGAACTACGATAGTTCTGGCTCTACGGCAAAATGCCATAATGCCTAGATTTATATGTGTAACTTTGTGCATAGCCTTCAAAATATAGTCAAATATAGTACTTTTATTATTACTATACACTTGTTCGACGGAAACTTGAATTTTCATGCCATTTGTCACTAGCACTTATCCAATATCAGTTAGATTTGTGTATATTTAGAAATTCATTTTTGTTGTTATTGGAAACAGATGCTACTCGAATGAGTCAGATGATATACTGAAATGACAATCTAATCTTTTCATTGGTTATTTATATAAATGAGTCTGTTCATCATAATTTATTAATAATTCAAACTATGTAACTGAATTTGACTGCAGGCTGTGATGGCAGATTGAACATATTTATATATGTTGTTTCTGCTTTTCTATTCTTAATTTCAAAACTGTATTATTTGTTTTAAATGATTTTTTATTGATGAAATTGATGTTTACAGAAATAAGAGTTTTCATTTTGACACGACCCATTATTTCAAACTGTGTTAAATTTATATATATTTAAAGTCATTATCATACAAAGTTTCATCAACTTTTAAAAAAATCAATAATTTATTATAGTCTAAGAGCCAGTGAACTATTTGACAAACCTGTTTTCTCAAAGCTAGAAATTTTTTTAATGATATTTTATTATCGGCCCATTAAGAAAGTACCATTCTGGCAGTCATTCCGCGGTTGCGTCATCATCCCTTCAATTTGTGAAAATGTAAAAAAAACTGTTTTTATAACTTGCTCGCACAAGGCTCAAATTTTGAGGGTGTCTTCTTTTAACTGTTCAGAAAGCATATGTAAAAAGCCAGCCCATTCTGGCGGTTGCAAGGGTCTGCCAGACGAGTACATAATAGTCACGACGCGCAAGGGTGTGGGCGCATTGCCATACATAATTGACTAATACCCTTGTATTTGAATAATTAATACGCAATTTTAAAGGTCATTTTGAAAACATCCGATATACCAAACTTCAACTTTGTATCTCACCTTATGGCCGAGATATCATTGAAAATATGCCAAAGTGGCCCCTTTTTCAAACTCAATTTTTGGCGTAACCATAAAAGATATCGAAAAAAAAATTACGTGATTCTACTCATATTGGCTTAAATCACATAATGTATAGTAATATATGCTAAATAATCCTTTATTATTAGCTAAAAAGGATAAAATAATTTTTCAATTAATGTTTTCGGATAGTGTGTTTTGTTTAATTACTTTATTATTAGTGTTATTTAAAAGCTTATTGTTTTCTCTTTTAGTACTGCAAATATGGTTTAAATCAAATTTGTGGAACACATTGAAAAATTGAAGAAACCAGAACCAGTACACCCGCGCGTAACGCTAATAGTAGCCCGCATAGAATTCGTTCGGTCGGATAAGCGATGCGTTACGCGCGGGTGTACTGGTTCTGGTTTCTTCAATTTTTCAATGTGTTTCACAAATTTGATTTAAACCATATTTGCAGTACTAAAAGAGAAAACAATAAGCTTTTAAATAACGCTAATAATAAAGTAATTAAA